AAAGACGGCTTGGAAAACTTGATACTCACAGGACAGATTGAAGGCAAGAGACAGAGGAAAACAACACATAACATAGTGAGCGTAACTAAATGGATGACAGCAAAAGGTTTGGGAGAAATAACAAAAAGACAAAATTTATTAAGAACTACGAAAGACAGGAAATTGAAGGGACACGGCACATAAAGAAGAGGAGGAGGAAGAATTTAAAATAGCTAGATGCAACCGTAAGTTCTATTCTGATAGTTTCTTCTCTTGCCCTTCTCACTTGTGAAACTCCCTTTTAGTTTCTTGCCTTCCTGCTACCTATGTTCTTCATAAATTTAAATGCAACATCAATCTTCTGCCTTCCTGAAGACTGTTTATTACCCTTTCTCCTCACTAAAGTCTTCTCATTCTCTTTGACACCATACTCTTTAGTGGCACTATAGACTGGCTTTTTTTTTGTAAAAATTAATTGTACCCATGCAAGTCAGTAAATGCACTAAAAGACAAGGGGTTACTGGGTGTGGAAGAATTAAGAATAGAAACATTAATAATGAGCGGGAAGATGAAAGAGTAATCAGGAGGATATTAGATGGCGATTGACATTGTATTTCAATTTTTGAAGATTAAAGTTGGCTGGAAAGCATGTAGCCGGAAGGGATTCCACAAGTAAGGCAGTAAAGCCACTAAGACACAAAGGGTTACTGGGTGTGGAAGAATTAGGGACAGAAACATTAATAATGAGCGCGAAGAGGAAAGAGTAATCAGGATTGCAATAGATATTGATTGACATTGCATTTAAATTTTTGCAGACTAAAGTTAGCTGGAAAGCATACAGCCGCAAAAGAGTACAAGTGAGAAGTGCGAGAATAAAACTGTTAGCATAGAATTTATCGTGATATCTCGCCTGTTCAATTGTAAATGGATGAGATCTCGACGCTAGTCTAGTACTGCGCTTAAATTAAAAATGTGTAGGTACCACAGCGAACAATTATGAAAGCATTTCTAGAAAAGGCACAGGGAGTCAGCTTTACGGCGGTGGGTAAGTGACTGAAGCCGAGCCGCCAGAACAGGACCTATAATATTGCTGATTCTTCTTTAGATTTTATCAAGGAGCTCAGGGTACATAGCCGGGGTACCGGAGCATATTTGAAAGCTACACAACAAAATAATGACGTGTGCGTATCACTTTGGTCCGTTTATATGGAAAACAAGATTTCACAGAGAGCAGCTACCTTATATTTAATTTCCACGTGTGATAGTAGATATACACACGAATTTCACCGTAAATGAATGATTACATTCAGGTTTATATTATAACACCAGATCAAAGGTCGGTGGTTGGGTCGATGTAAAAGCTAATCTTTCCAATGTCCCTTCCCACTTGGAACATCGGCGATCCATAATATATGAAATATAGTAGAGATTATTTTTCTTATTGAGATTCTTATTGGAAAGAAACGCTATTTACAACATAATTACATACCTACATACATACGTGGATCATTCAAATAGTTGTAAGCCTCAGCCAGCTGAATATTTTTGTTGTGGCATCACACTCAGTCAGTTATGTGCCATACGTGATACACTCTTAGGCGATCATATATCTTTCGATACATGACTGATGAGGCAGATTTTTTTTCCGGCAGTAGGTTGCCATTTCTTTCTGCGGTAGACCAGTTGCCATCCAAGGGTATTAATACGTAAATGAATGTAATGGATTTGACTGGAATTCGAACTCCGCTCACCGATTTCTCAATCCAAGCCGCTACCCATTACTCCACCATGCCTCCTTGAAGTCAGTTATTTGCCATGTGTGATACACGCTTAGGCGATCATGTATCTTTCCATATATCACTGACAAGGCAGATTTTTCCCCGCAGTAGGTTGCCATTTTTTCTGCGGTAGACCAGTTACCATCCAAGGCTATAGAACCCGGTCTGTCCTGCTATTTACCCATAGCTGGGGGGCGAAGAAGAGGATTCATACTTTTCCCAAGTTCTACAATAATTTTTCGCCCCCCACCAAAAAAAACTGAAGAATATAACATTTCGCAGATTTCGCTTTTATTCTCTCAAGGGCAGAAGATACCAACTTGATAAATACTGACATTAGCAAGAGATAACAAGTAAATCTCCACCCCACCGCCACATTGTCAACTAAATCTCCACCCCCCCGCCATTGTCAACCTTGATAAGAAGAAATTCATTATTCATGTGTCACTTAATCAAGCACCTAAACGTTTTCATCAGGTAAAGATAAAACTTTTAAGAAAAAGAAAAACTAATTTGTAATTACAATGTAATTAAAATCATTGAATGATTCAATTGAATTTTCTAAGAAATGCCAAACATTGGCAGAGATTAAATCTTCCGACAACATTATCGACAGTTCGTCTGAAGTTATTATGCAAATCACATACACCTCAACAGTTTTACTCAAATCTTAAACGATTAATTTCGACGTCAATTTAGTGCACGTCGACGTGTTGTAATGGTTAACGAGTCTCGCTAGATCAATTGCGACTGAGTAGCGATTTCGTTCCTCACTGGGTGCTCCATAATTTCGGCCTTGTTCCACATCTAAGATACATTTAGGTGCATTGGTTAGCAAGCTTGTTCTCGCTAGATCAATGACGACGGAGCAGTGAGTTCGATCCTCTTTGGGTACCCTATACTTCCGACGTTATACCAAATCTAAGCTGCGCTTAGATAATCTTTGGGGAACGTCGACGTGGCGCAATGGTTATCAAGCTAGTAACACTGCATCAATAACGACTGAGTAATGAGTTCAGTCCTCACTGGGTGCACTATAATTCTGGCTTTGTACCGCACCAAATCTGCGATTAAAAAATCAATTAGGGTACTCCGACGTGTTTCAGTGGTTAACAAGCTAGTCTGGTTAGATCTTTTACGACTGATTAGCGAGTTCGATCCTCACTGGCTGCCCTATACTTCTGGCCTTGTACCACACTTAAGCTGCGTTTATAAAATCATTTAGGGTACTTCGACGTGTTTCAATGGTTAGCAATTCATTGATTATTCTTAAATCCTTTATGGTTAAACACGAGATAACTTGTATGTAGAATTGTGGGTCTTGAACTCGTGAAGTTAGAAATGGTGGAACTAAGGAATGTAGCCCGTTCAAATACTTTCCATAGAATTAGCGATAGAGCAGTAAGAGGCCTACGACATTTAGTCTTTGAGAAACGGGTTGTCGAATAGAAAATAATTTGTTACCCACGAGGACGTGAAGATGCTTTTGGATTCTATCGAGAGTAGAAAGTGAAGACTGAGCAGCCAAACATGGAGTACTGTTGCCATATCAGTCGACAGTTCCCCATTTTCGGCCTGATCTGGCAACAGAGGACTGGAAGAGGTGTCAGGCTCTTACTGTAGCAGTACAGATGACCGACCATTTTACCAATAGCTTTAACATCGGATCGTATGCCCGAGTTCCACTTGAGCTCTGAGTTGAGTTTAAGTACCAATAGGCGCTCAAGGCACAGGGCTTCCCCGAGGGAATATCCTTTCAACAGGATTGGTGATAGTTCGGGGTTCGATCGGCGATGATAGAATGTAACTAGTTTGGTTTTCGTGGCATTCAATGTAACCAACCAGTTCTTCCCACCCCTGAGACGTTAAAGCTAGATCAAACGAGAGATCAGCTACCAATCAATGGTTGTCAGGTACTTACTGGAGCGGTATAAGGGACCGACCATGTTCCTGACTCTTTAGAGATGGATCCTGTATGAGTTCCACTTGAGAGCAAGGATGAGTCTAAGACCTAATAGTCTCACAAGGCACAGAGCTTCTCTGACTGGTGATATTTCAAGGGTTCGATCGGCGATGATGGAAGATTGAACGAGAGGTTAGATGCTTACAGGGGCGGTACAGGGAGCCGCCCATTTTTTCTACATCTTTGGCGATGGATCGTATGTACGAGTTCCACTTGAGAGCAAGGATGAGTCTAAGGCCTAATAGTCTCACAAGGCACGGAGTCTCCCTGACTGTTGTTAGTTCGGGTGTCCAGTCGTCTATAATAGAATGTAACTAGTTAGGTTTTCAGGGCATTCAATGTAACCAACCAGGTTTTCCTCATTGAGACGTTAGAGCTAGATCAAAGGAGAGATCAACTGCCAGTCTGTGGTCATCTAGACTTTTGTCTACCCTTTATCTCCTGCTAGGCATCTTTATCTGCGGGTGCCAACAACGAATTTAATCGCAGTGATACTTTTAGTGTGAAAACAATATAAAAAATGTTTAAACTATATATCTATTCACGATGAATGGATAAAAAGTTTTTTTATTGCCTCGTAATTGACCTCTGTTTAATTGTTTAACTTTAAGTTGCGTATTCGACCGTGGAGCATTGTTCAGCATGTAATCCTTAGCATAAAGCCTTATAATCTACAAGGTACACTTCAGATGTTTTGACATTTTTGAGAGGTACTTTTAATTAAGTGTCGTTTTAATAACTCCTGACTGCAATTGTAATAAGGTAATGTACCAAATCAGTTGTTTCCAGGTTGAAAGATCAGACCTGTATAGCCCCACTAAGTAGGACTTGCTGTACATGTCTTGCCATTGCTGACTAGATTATGCAATGCGGTCGGGACGTGAAGACAACTTGAAGCGTTCGTTAAGCAATAGAGTTTTGTGTTAAGCTTGGGAAAAAAACACTACAGAAAACTATGAAAAGATCAAGACAGCGCAGAGGCTGATGCTTTGAGGATTTTGAGAAGATGAAGGAGGCTGAAACAAGGACTGTGGACACCTTCCCTTTGAAAGAGAAGTGTATGCACCTTCTCTTTGGAGGAGGACCATGAACGCATTCCCTTTGGAGGAGGACCGGGGAAACCTCTTTGGAGAACGACCATGAACACCTTCCCTTTGGAGGAGGACCTTGGTTCCTTCTCTTTGGAGGAGGAACATGGGCACCTTTTTTTTCTGGAGGAAGACCTTGCACACCTTGCCTTTTAAGGAGGAACAGGGACACCTTATCTTTGGAGGAGGACTATGAACACCTTCCCTTTGGAGGAGGACTGTGGACACTTTCTTTTGGAGAAGGACCATGGACGCCTTCCCTTTGGAGTAGGAACATGGACACCTAGCATTTCGAGGGCTACGAGAAGGCCCCCAAGAAATAACTGTAGGGTTACAAGTTAACTGAATTTAAAGGGCCCTACTTTAAAAAGTGATTAGACTGTTGTATTGTTTTCAAATAAATAAATAAATGTCTCCCCTGAAAAATTCTCAAATCTTCTAAACTGTTTTTTGAGGGCGTATTTAGATAGCGAAAGATGCCTTCCAAATGCTAAGCAAAGTATCAAGAAAGAGGAAAATCTCGTTAAAAGACTACTGAACTGTTATTTAACATCAATCGTCCTATATTTAAATTGAAAATTACTTTTAAACATATGTAAACAGAAAATATGTATAGATGTCATCAAATAAAACAACCCATAATGCGAATTACAAATTAGAGACACTTAAAATCAAGCAAGTATAAACATTTAAATACCTAGGAAGGTTTTTTAGTAGAAGACGGAAAATGTGACACCAAAATTCGAGGGCGTATTGGGTTAGCGAAAGATGCCTTCCAAAAGCTAAGCAAAGTATAATGAAAGAAGAAAATCTCGTACTGAACTGTTATTTAACATCAACCGTCCGATATTTAAATTCAAATTTACTTTTAAACATATAGAAACAAAATGTGTTGTCATCAAATGAAACAACCCAAGATGCAAATTACAAATTGGGGACTCTTAAAATCAGGCCAGTGCAAACATTTAAATGCTTAGGAAGGGTTTTCAACACAGGACGGAAAATGAGACACCAAAATCCGAGGGCGTATTTTTAATAGCGAAACCTTCCAAAAGCTAAGCGAAGTATTAAGAAAGAGGAAAATCTCGTTAAATGTGTTATTTAACATCAATCCTCCTATATTTAAATTCAAATTTACTTTTAAACACATAGAAACAAAATGTATGGTTATCATCAAATAAAACAACCCAAGATGCGAATTGGATAGCGAAAGATGCCTTCCAAAACTAAGCAAAATATTAAGAAAGCGGAAAATCTCGTTAAAAAGAGTATTGAACTGTTATTTAATATCAACCGTCCTATATTTAAATTCAAATTTACTTTTAAACATATGGAAACAAAATGTGTTGTTGTCATCAAATAAAACAACCCAAGATGCGAATTAGAAATCGGAGTCACTTAAAATCAGGCCAGTGCAAACATTTATATAACTAGGAAGGGTTTTCAACACAGGACGGAAAATGAGAGACCAAAATTCGAGGGCGCATTTGAAGAGCGAAAGCTGCCTTCTAAAAGCTAAGCAAAGTATCAAGAAAGAGGAAAATCTCGTTAAAAAGAGTACTGAACTGTTATTTAACATCAATCGTCCTATATTTAAATTAAAAATTACTTTTAAACCTGTGTAAAGAGTATATATGGTTGTTATCAAATAAAACAACCCAAGATACGAATTACAAATTGGAGACACTTAAAATTAGACAAGTACAAACATTTAAATGCCTAGGAAGGATTTTTAGCAGAATACAGAAAATGCGACACCGAAATTCGAAGGCGTATTGGGATAGTGAACGATGCCTTTCAAAAGCTAAGCAAAGTATTAAGAAAGAGGAAAATCTCTTTAAAAAGAATACTGTACTGATATTTAACATCAGTCCTCCTATATTTAAATTCACATTTACTTTTAAACATATGTAAACAAAATATATGGTTGTCATCAAATAAATCAACCTAAGATGCGAATTATAAATTGGAAACACTTAAAATCAGGCAAGTACAAACATTTAAATATCTGGGAAGGGTTTTTAGAAGAAGACGGAAAATGCGACACCAAAATTCGAAGGCGTCTTGTATAGCGAAAGATGCCTTCCAGGAAGAAATCAGAACTTGTATTCATCAACTAAATTAGTGATTCTCAATTTCAAAACAAAATACGAAAATAAATGTTATACTTTTTATATACGTTGTTAAGCGAAGAAACAAAATTATTCTGATGCTATTTGACCAGTGCGTATTTTTCAATATTTCGCAGATTTACCATAACCATTGTCAGAACGTTGGGGATGAATGGTCAGTTTGGCATCAGAAAAAGAGTTTCTTGCGACGTTACAGTATCGTCGCCACAACGTCACATATCCGCCAACCAAAATACAACCTGTCTGTAATTTTTCAAGAGTGTTCCCTCTGTCTGTAACATTATAAGAGTGTTCCATCTTTCTGTAACGTTACAAGAGAGTTCTATTTGTATATAACGCTACAACAGTGTTCCTTCTGTATGTAACGTTACAATGGCATTTCATCTACATGTAACGTTACTATACTGTTCCCTCTCTAACGTTATAAGAGGTTTCCATCTGTATGTAACGTTACAAGAGTGTTCCCTGATTATGTAACGTTACAATAACGCTCAATCGATATAAAACGTTATAAATGTTCCCTCTGTTTATAACGTTACAAGAGCGTTCCCTGTGTCTGTAACGTTACAAGAGCGTTCTCTCTATCTGTAACGTTATAAGAGCGTGCCATTTATATGTAACGGCATAAGAGTGTTACTTCTGTAACGTTACAAAGGCTTTCCCTCTGTATGTAACGTTACAGGTTTTCCCTCTGTCTGTCACGTTACAAGTGTTCCCTCTGTCTGTCACGTTATAAGAACGTTTCCTGTTAGCTAGAATATACTGACGAAATAGAAGTTTAAATATTTCAGTGTGAGTTGGTTTCTGACTTTTTTTATGCTACAATTCCCACAATGCAAGGCTCGAGAGTCACCCAAGCCTAGGAGCTAATGTCAAAATGATAATGATGATTGAGTGGCGATGCAAAGAATCAAAGTGGAGGTGGTGGCGACGGAAGCTTATGAAGATAAAGATAGATAGCGATTGGTTTTTGACTTGATTGGGAAAAAATTATTTTACAACTTGAAGAGGAAAAAAGAAAGATTTTACAACAGGAAATAAAATCTAAAAATCTCACCTGACACTGATCTTATATTATTATTATTCCCCTTCGGCAAGTTCTTCGACCCTCCGCTTGACGATGACACGTTCAGTTCCTGTTCTGTCCTTTTGAAAAATCAGCTACGAGGAAGACATGTCTTTAGTTGCAAAAGGGAGGGAAAAAATAGTCGTTTTTGATGAGATGGAAAAAGGTACAAAAAAAAAAGATGTGTTTTCAGATGATTGGAAATATTCGTGTGTTTCTGTTGCGTGTGGTGTACGCTATAAACTTTGGTTCCCACATTCGGTCGGAGTGAGGGTTGATATGGATTCTGAGAAAAGATATAATCACAATGCAGCCCCATTCGAGGAACAACAGGTGATCTAGCAACAATAAAAACAACAGCAGTCACCTTTTGTTAGTAACAAATGAAAACCAGCCCAGCTTATCTTTTGTTTTTGTTGTTGTTGTTTTCGTGTGTACGTGGAGGGGTTGTATCATTATCAAATAACACAAAACATTCCTTACTTTAGGTTAACAATGTGTTCGCTATTCGTTTTTATCCATTTAATATCGATATTTTAAAATCCATTTTTATAATATTTTTAGTAATCTATTTAGTACCGTATATAATCGACTATAGTGCCAGATTTTGTGATCAGTTCTTTTATACGTAAAAATTGGGGGCGCACTATACAAAGGTAATTTTTTTTTTTTTTTGAAGAGGTCAAAAAGCATTTTCGGTGACCGGTTGCGCTATACACAGGTCAATTTTTTCTACAGGGGTTAAATTTAATGCAAAAAATTCAGGGCGCGCACTATATATGAAATCGGCTTATACACGAATATACACGGTGTTTTCAATTTTAAACCTATTCAAGTTTGCAATAGTCTTTGAATTTCTTAGATAAAGCATTGTATTTTTTTAATATTCCTTTTTTTTCATATTATTTTTGCTAATATTTTATACTCTGTGATCAAAAATGCAATAATCTTATAATGTCTGAATTTCTTCAATGAAGCATTGTCAGCTATCATTATTGTCTTTCTTTCTTTCTTTCTCGACTTCAGTCACTTTTTCACCAATGTAGTGTGGCTTCCCTGCGTCTTTTCTACAAATATTTTCATACCAACTGCCCTGACGAGCTTTTTTCCCTTGGTGTCCCGACTACATGAATTTAAGCGTTCTACTAGATTGGCATCTAGGTCCCACCCGTTTGCTTTTGAAATAGCTAAATGCAACCGCCACTTCTACTCTAACAGTTTCTTTTCTCGTCCTTCCCGACAGTGAAACTCCCTTCCGTTTACTTCCTTCCCTGATAACTAAAATCCTCAAAAATGTAAATTCAACGTTAATCTTCTATCTTCTTGAATCCCGTTCATCTTTTGTCCTTTCCCCAATCCTCCCTATATTCAGTCTTTTCTCTCACTTTCACTCCCTGTAACCTCCTGCGTACAAGTGCCATTTCCGCCTTAGGATTAAAAATGATTAAAAAAAAACTCAGAAAACACACATATATGTATAAGGAATCAATAGATTTTATTTTTAATCCGACATTACTTCTATTTATACATTTTCTTGCTACTTACATATTTTCTTTATTAAATCTTTTGAACTCTTGAATGCACAGGCCGGTAGATGTAATTTACATTGTTAAAAAAACAACAAAAGAAAAACAAGGCGTCTACTCGAACACATGAATCGACGAAAATATAACGTTTAGAGTAACACACAGACACATACACTCACACGCATATATATATATATATATATATATATAAAAGGTGTTTTATTCAGACGTATTATATATAAGGGTGTTTCATTAAGACGGATCAAAGTCAGCAGTAAATAAATCAGTGTTATTGGTGAAAATTTATTCATTTCTCTATTGTACAATGTTATTTAAGTCATGACAATTATGTGTGAAAAATAATATTGCCTAAATGTCCGCCAAATCTGAAAGAAAAAGTAAAAATCATTAAACGCTTAAACTTAATTCACATTTAAAATCGGTTCAAGTTAATGGAACACACTTTTTATATATATATATATATATATATATATATATATATATATAGTTCAAAAATTTGAAGCCACTACCAGAATTAGCATTGTATGAATTTGACAGAAGAGTGAAAAATTGAAAAGAGCTCATTGAAAAAAGAATGGAA